CACAAAATAGTGCAGTGACTACTCGCGCCGGCAATGAGTCAGTTTGACCAGTACCCTCAAAGCAATCAACTTTTACTGAGCCGCGGGGACTTGGAACTCACTGCAGCAGACGACATTTGCATGAGGGAAATGCTAGTATGCAATAACAGTTGAAGGCTGAATAGTGTTTTGTGGGCAGAAATCCGGCCTTATTTCCATTTTTCTGAAAATTTTCCTGAAGTTGGCTCAGTGTTGTACAGGGAAAGCATAACCTTAATCACGCCTAGATTGCGGGGAATGGGGGGGGGGCGGGGAGGGGGGGGGGAGGGGGAGGGCGGGGAGGGGGGGGGGGGCGTCACTCCGCCGTCCAACATTTTGTGCGGGGTAAACGCTCCCCCCTCCTACATCTCCTCTCCGCCTGTTTCCGCGCTTATGGCTCCGATACCACCTTGGCAAGGTTCTCGCTGCCTTCCTGCATGTCACTGAGCATCTGCATGCATTGCGCCAATGCGCATCTGTATAACAGACTGGTACGACCCGTTTGCACCCCGCTTGTCTGCGTCTGTGACTCCATCCACCGGTGCTGGGTGAGTTGGACGGGCCGAGATGCCCGCCGCCTGCAGCGCTGGTTTGCAGCCGCACACCGCGTACCGCACACGGCACACCGACACCCCGCTACCGACCGTGCCCGGCTCTGCGCGCCGGGCCAGCCCTCTCCAGCTAGCCGCCGTGTTTACTGGGCAGTGAAGTTTAGCTTTACCCTTCTACATCAAACAAAGAGCAAGGCGAAGTAAACAGTATGTACGAAAATACGCCCGATCCGTACCAGATCACCGGAATAGAGTGGTAGCGCGTGGGCGCGCGACCGCACACCCTGCCAGCCATCATGGGTCCCTCGCGGGGTCAAATTGTGATGATCATTGCAGCCTATGACGTAGCGTCTCAACGAGTTACGGTTCACTTTGGGATTCACTGTATCTGGTGTTTACAGAGGTAAACAACGCTTACCCCCGTTTCCCACAAATCGCAAATGGTCTGATTTGCCTCCTTAACCGTCGCTCTGACACACGGTTTTTCATGCCGCGGAGTAACAGAGTGGGAATGCGAGCCCCACCACCCCCAGGCGTTTCTAAACTGATGAAGATAGAGCTTAGCAAAAAGCACCAATGGATTAGTCTCAACGAGGTGTCCAATTGATACTAACTTGCATGTTGTTAGGTAATACAAAAAAAAACAGTTGCCCCTATTATGGCAGATCAACTGTCGAATTTGCCGGAAAATCGCTTTTTTTTTACTTTACATCATACCTACGACGGCATCCCTGTGGGGACACAAAATTTGAGCAGGTGTTTTCATTGTTAACTGCTGAGTAAAATCGCTATATAATTTTATTGTTTTGATCATATATATATATATATATATATATATATATATACATATACATATGATACCTGACTTTGCCAATGTGAGAGTGCCGGCAGGCAGTGCATCCCGCGGCATCATTAGTTGCCGCCCGCCGCCCGCAACGGCCGTAGATCGCCGTGCAGTGTTCCTCAAACTACTACTGTTCCGAAATAAGAAAAGCTAGACACACGTTTCTGGTGTCGAAATACGCCTAATGGATGCCCATAAACTATCGGAAATTTGGACGTGATTGCAAAACACTTTAAAGGGGTATCTTCGACGTACCTCCGCGGACATGGTTATCCCCTATCACGGCGAGTGTTATGATTTGTAGCCTAAAGAAGTGAGCCGGATCTGAAACGTACAGCTTGTTGATGGTTGTGTGGCAAGCGGCGTATTTATCCGCCGCGGGCCACGTGCTATGTTTTTAGTGCAGTTGGGTTATTCGTACGACGTGTGTGTTTTTGCGATCCCGGGGACAGGGTTGAATAGGTTAGTTTCAAATGCGGCGCGCGGCGCATCAATCCGCCGCGGGCCACCTGCTGTTTTTCGATGTGCGAGTACGGTTTTTGTTTACTACGTTTGGCCCGAGTGCTCATTCCGGACATGCTCCCCAGTACGATCAATAGGGGGCCTGCCCCTTAAAAACACCGACCTCGTAGAAGTAGGATACGTTCAGCCAGTGCAGAGCATTCTCAAATAGTACACGGGAACGTTCAGACAGTGGGTGGCACGGTGTGGGAGCCTTATCGGCCGGGTGCGTCGGGGGCTGGTTACTCGACGCCTTCACCTCGGCAAAATGTAAGCCCGGCGAAGGAATCGACCCTTTGGCGATTCTGAGAACCCTGGCCCCTTTTTCTCCTTTTAGATTATTAAGAATATGTTTTCCGTAGGTTTCTTTGAGATTACGTGCTCGCGCACAAATTCTGATCAGCTATTCGTATGATTTTTGCGCTTACATCGTATCGCAACAATTGGTATATTTAATACATGACTCTGTGGCTAAGGTGTGTTGTTATATGACGTGGCGAACCCTGCCTGGCGTTTTTCTACGCGCTTCAATGGACAGTCTGGAGGAAAATAGCAGATCGACGGTGTGCGGCCTGCATTTTGTGCCATGAGAGTGCACGTGACACGGTCAGACCAACATTTACACATCAAATCAAAGATACCCGTAAACTTCGTACAGCGTGGGGCGACTGTGAATTTTCCTCGAGTATAATGAAAGGATTTTTGTCACCGCGAACTAAATGCGTCACATACGCTTTTGCATTATGACTCCTCGCGAGGAGCGGTGGAGAAAGTTCTACGTAGTACGTAGGCAATTGTTTAGCCGTGGATTGAAAGGCCGGTATACGGTATACGGTATACGGAAAGGCATACGGTACACAACGTCATTGTGCGAGTGCGTAACTTCAAAACCATGCAGGAACTCCATCCAAAATGAGTCAGCCACGGTGCTTGTTGCTTTTATGCAAGCCGGGCTTTGGAAATCTGGTGATTACCGTTTGGTGTCTGAGAAATCCGTCGGGTGAGCATGACAATATTGCTAAAAAAAAAATGACAAGCCAGCACTCCGAGTTACGCGGACGGCAAAAATCAGGCTGAAGGAAACGAAGACGATGGTATAGTATTGGAAATTTTCCGCGTGACATAAATGGTGACCACTGTGGGGATGTCCCCTGAGAGCGAACCGTGAAAAATCAAGAAACCTAACGACGATATTTTATAATTGAAAACTCCCCGCGTAACAGCTACATTCAAGAAAATTCTACCTGCTGTCACGTTTTGGGGAATTCAACCGCATTTCTTTCCTTTCAGCAAATAAACCTATGGTTGTCAAAATGATGCATTTAAAGTAGAATGATAATACCGAAAATAGAAATATTTTCAAGGATTTCATATGGCTTACTTGCTTGCATAAAACTCCCATGCTATGGCTTTCTTTTCATGGGGCGCCGTCTCAGTCTACTTAGTGGAAATTGCCTTCAAGCAATCAAACAACCTACAAATTATAGCAAATATGTCAGCCAGATCTCAAGCCTGAAGACATCCCGAATCTTGTGCCGAATGGGGCAGGACTTACCCCCAATTTACCTAACATGTTTTAACATATAATTCATCACAAAACCTGGGCACATGGAAGACGTCCCCAAAATTATCCAAAACTTGAACGCAAAGCACTCCTGAATCAGGCTCCCTGAACTTTGCATTCATGAGGTGAGTTTCCCTCTAAATATGAATAGCCCATCTCACTATGAAATTCTGCTCTGTTGCAGCCCTAGCAAAATGTTTGGAGGTCATGTCACTTTGCAGCGTCTATTGCAACAAAAAATAAATGAAGCTAACAACGATTCTACCCCCATCCTAAACACTGAGGATGAAATTCTACTATGAGGTGTGACTTGCAGTGAACTGGACGCATTCATCTAAAAGCAAATACTCATAATCCGGCCTTTCAGTTTGATGGCTCATTCAAAGCCGTCCACTACACACACTAACGTAGGCTCCAAGTAAACAAGGAAAAGCGCGCCACTCTTACAATAAGGAAATTATTCACAAACACTGTTATGACGTCATTAGTGTTGATATCACAACTACTATATTGCACCGTTTTTTGCTGACAACGAATATATTAAACATTTCTTGTAACTTTCAGCTCCACGGTTGCATTACGTCATGTTGAATTTGCGTGTTCAGTTAGCGACCAGTCTTTTCGCTGAGGAGACAACGCAGTAAGGAAAGGAACGTATTTATAATGAACTAAGATAGCCCTTCAAGAACTTGGAAGACGGTGTAGTCACCCACCATCTCCCAAGATAATCACCCACTAATAGTAATATCTGTGCCATAACCTGTCTCACACAAGGCAGGGATGAAAAATATCTAGGCCACTACAACATTTTTTCTGTTTCGATGTTGTAATGTGCACAATTTCGTCGCAATAGACTTTTCATGAAATAATATGCTAAACAGAACATTGAACGCTTGCAGCGTGTTTGCCTTTTTCATGAAGGGCAGGCGTTGATATGAGTCTCCGCGCTCGTGGGCGAGTAGATGCTTTTTGACGTCCTGATGGATGGCTACCTGGAATGGAATTCCCCTTGTTGATCTACCATGAGCCTCGGTTTTTCCAACCGTGTAATTTCCAATGCTATAGAGACGGCTCACACCATGCGCAGCACACGGATAATTCGTAAACTGGTTACGTTTGGGCTAGTAGTCCCTTAGTGTGCATATTTGATTCGCCCATCTTGCGTAAATGCTCCAGCAGCTGTCCGCAGAATTGTCTCGCTCCCCCCAAATAGCAAAGCTTTGAGCGCCTCTGCATGCCTCAGACGCTGGAATTTCCGGGCTGTAGCCCGCGGCGCACAGAGTTGCACCATGCGATCAGTTGGGTGGCGACAGGAGCGGCCGTCGGGCTGTGGAAGGCGTTTGTTCCGACCTACAAATGGGTGTCGGTGTGCGCGCGCAGCTCGGGGCTGTGCTCCTGCTGACGCTGACGGCGTGGCTGGCGGACGCCGTTCCCACAGCTAACAGCAACCGGCCGGACATTCTGCCGACGGACTGCGGCCGCCGCCTTGTGCGGCCAGACGAAGCGCGCCGACCGTTCATAGTCGGGGCCGGGCAACACCACCGCCTATTATGGTAAATATCCGTGGCAGGCGCGGCTGGTCATGTACGATGCCAATGTGAAGGGCTATGTACATCACTGCGGAGGCATCATTGTCTCGCAGGAACACGTGGTGACGGCCGCCCACTGCGTGATTGAGGTGGCCCCACGTCGGCTGCTGGTGCGTGTCGGAGACCTCCGATTTGACGACCGCGAGCTGTTCGAGCAGGAGTTCGCCGTCGCCAGCTACCACGTGCACAGCCGGTTCGGCACGGCTGCTGGCTTGCGGCACGACGTGGCCCTGCTGCGGCTACGTCGCCGCGTCGGACCCGGCATCGAGTTCGGCCGCTACGTGCAGCCGGCCTGCCTACCGGCAGCCGGCACCAAGTACGAGACGTTTCTGCCGTGCGAGGTGTCCGGCTGGGGCCGCATTGCGGACCTTGCGCCCATCTCGGAGGTGCTGCGCGGCGTCTCGGTGCCGCTGGTGTCGGACGCCTTCTGTGGTGCGCCCGAGGTGTACCAGGACCGCTTCCTGCCCGGCGCCATGTTCTGCTCGGGCCCGACGGGTGGCGGTGCCGACAGCTGCGAGGGCGACTCGGGCGGCCCGCTGGTGTGTGGCGACGCGGACAGCGGCCGCTTCGTGGCGTATGGCGTCGTGTCGTCTGGCGACCCGCTTGGCTGCGGCCGGCGTCCCGGCCTCTACACTAAGCTGTCGGCTTACACTGCCTGGCTGTTGCGCCGCCTACAGCTGGACCAGGAGGAGGATGCGGCCCCGAGCACGACAGTGACCGCAGCTCCAGATGCCGCCGACCGGCCTCAGGGTGACCTGGGCCGGCCTTGTTCCACCCCGGACGGTGCGGCCGGCTTTTGCCTTCACTTACGGGACTGTCCCGACCTGCTGTCGTCGGGCGGCGAGGACCTGTCAGTGACGCTGTACCGGCCTCTCTGCGGCCTGGACGCGGCCACCACTCCGCTGTTCTGCTGCCCCGGACAGGAGCCGCGCGGCGCCGGCTGCGGAAAGACCAGCTTTTCGCCACCGGCGCAGCTGGGCGCCTCGTTCGTCAAGAACGCCGCCAACTTTCCCTGGATGGCGGCCATCTCCGAAAGACAAAAGGGCGGCAGAGGTATAGTGGTCTGCGGGGGCGCCGTGATCTCTGACCGATGGGTGTTGACGGGGGCGACCTGCGCTCGCGATGGCCGCCAGCTGAGTGTGCGCTTCGGTGACCTCGACTTGCAGGACACCTCTGACGACAATCCTAACGCTCCTCCGTTCGAGCTGGACATCATCAAAGTTGCGCGGCATCCCCAGTTTTCGCCGCCGGAAAAGAGAGCTCAGGACATTGCCTTGCTGAAGACTGTGTCAAAAATTTCGTTCTCCAGCACTGTGAGCCCTATTTGCCTACCAGATGCATCCCTTACGTCAATTGTGCCAGCGGGTGATGACCTCATCTTTGCGGGCTGGGGCGCGACAAGATTTGCCGCAAGCACAGCGTTCTTGTCCCTGAAATGGGCCAGGGTGAGGGTGGTGGATTTCGGAGATTGTAGAAGCAATTACACCAAGATCCCACCATTCATCCGGTATTTTGATGCAGGCTCGTTTTGTACGAAGTTTTTTGAACCAACATCGGTGTTCTGGTGTGCTATCAATCAGGGCGATCTGGGTTCTGTGTTAATGAAAGTTATCGGGGAGGGTGACATCGCGAGGTGGTACGCAGTGGGGTTGGCTGTTGCTGGAAAGGGCTGTGGCGACGAAGAGTTTCCGGATATCAACATCGCGCTTGGACCATCACTGGACTGGATCCAATCGGTCATCACGGCGCCATCATAGATGTTGCCTTTAGTTGCCTGTACTGTTCATCAGTGCAACCGCACAGCCACACCTCCGTGTTTTCAGCAGATTTCTAGCGCGGTGCGTCGTATGAACTGAGCGTTGTTAAGCCGGTTTTTATGTGAGCAGACGCCCAATACATGTCAGCAGTCAGCAGCACTATGTCAGCCGCCAACGATATATCGACCATAACGGACCCTCCTGGTGGGGCTCTAGCATATCCGCGACCGGCAATCAGGAGGCAGGAGCTAGACGCCCGCCGCAATGCCGATGAGCAGAGCACAGACACACCACTGCCAGAGTACCTGACGGTTCAGCGTTACAAGCTGGACTCCGACAGGAAGCCGCTGTCATTGAAAGGCGCTGCCGCTGGACTGGAACCCGCTCCATTGTCAAAAAACGTTCTCCAAGACATGCTCCCGAAAGCTCTGAATATTTTCTGATGACTCCAGTGAACTCCACTGATGCAGCCGGTAGCAGTGTAGAATATCATAAATCCTTGCAACCTGCGAGAACATAACACAAAAACCCCTTTCAGAGTGGTTGGGAAAGTCCGCAGCATTCTCCGGTCCCCTTGTCCCCATCTCTACGCTCGATTGGTTGGGCCCATACGTCCTGCTCCTATTGCCCCTTTACCGAGTCTTCATAGAAGTGCGGTGCCAGCAAAAGTTACAGCAACATGACAATGTTAGTAATAGGAACCACTTGTCCCTCTCCTACCCCGGTTAATGGGGTTGTCTTGGCACTAAGAGGCGCAACTCTACGAACAGCTGAAAAGCCAGGGCCATCATACGCTCCAGCTTACAACTTGACGGACACCCGACCTTTGTTTGAGATCAACTGCACTTGCGCGCAAACTGTCGTTGCGCACTAGAGACGGTATGAAGATGTCCCTTAGCAGCAGCCTTGTAATTTTGCGCTGCTGCACGTGCTGATCTGCAAAGAAGTTCACCGCTGTTTGCAGTTGTCGAAGCGCGGAGTGAGGGATTGTTTGAGGCGAACTTCAGCAGAAACTAGCTGAAAATGTATGGTGATCTTGGGTGCTCTCGTAAAACGACTATTTCAGCATGCGAGACGCGCCTCGCTGAGTGCTTCCCGTACCTGTCAAGAACTTACTTGTTTTGTTTTTTGTTTCGGCTACCTTATAAGATGAGGTGATATTTTGGTGGGCGGACGGTCTCAAGATGAGTTTTATGATGGCCACGCGTGCGTTTCAGACATCCGTCTCGTATTACACGCATTTCATACGTCTTACATAAAAACCACACAGGTGTAAGTCTGGAAAACACGTGATGTGTCGCGTCTGGATATCTCCAACTGATCACTTCGCGTGTGCCCAAATGATCCCCATCCCCTCGAAAAGGAGCGTCACAACCAGACTAAGATAGAAGCCATGCGTTGCAACGCATCGCGGTCATGTGGAATTACCGCCACGGGTGCATGAGTAGACGACGCTGAATGACACTGCACCAAGCGCTATCTACAATGGCGGAATTGAAGGGAGGTATCCACATTTCTGTGGGGTTTGAACTGAACAAGCGATCTGGAAGATCACTCTGTGCAGTACACAAAGTAATGTCTTAAAATACGGAATAGGTATCTCTTCCACGACAGAGTACAAATAATACCTAATCAAAAGCGCGCTGGGTATAAAAAAAACCTCATTATTCGCACGATCAAAGTGAAGAGCATATATTTTCCAAAACAGTTCAGGCCAGACTATCTACGTGACGCACTGACATCAACAACGGGCCAATAGGAGATCAAGATTCTTCTCTGGCCTCTGATGTCTTCTACCTTGAAAGTCCCTTTGGATGAATGCAGGATTCAGAATCTCACTGGGGGGAGGGGTGAGATTCAAATCACTGGGAAAGGGGGAAAAGGCCAATGGGCATTCGCGATCCCGTCACTGTCCCTGTTCAGCAAATGTTCCTCTGGCCGACTCTGGGTCACTGTCGACGCCGGACCCCCTGTTTGGCGTTGTGGGCCCCTCTCAGACGCCCTCATTGTTTCAGGGACACCGATCAATACAAATCGCGGGTTCCGCCTTGCTGGTACTTGAAAAATGGACCATCAGGGTTAAGAACGATACGGAGCCAACTGTTCGGTGTTGGTGGTGTTGTGCGTCCTGTCCACCGCCTCACTGCTTCCCGATCGAGGCCGTAAAACCGTATGTATTCCGGTAGATATAAAAACGGCATTACCTGCAAAAATGTGTTGCAAAGCGACCAAAGTAGAGGAGTGTTGTTAGTGTGCTCGTAGGCAAGCACTGCTGTAAAAAGACAGTGGCAAACATAATGAATTCTTACATACACAGACGTGGCACGCGTGAAGAAGAAGGCGATGTAGAAATATAAGCAAAACGGAATAAGACAAGAATGGTCCAGTGAGAAGCAGGCTAGAATCAAGTTTACAGACATTGGTAACCGTATTTAAAATTTTAACGTACTGTGGAACACTTATGGCATGTATGGGCATTGGTGTAATCACGATCCTAACACTGAGGGACTCAAAACCCGGTTCTGTCAACATGCGCTTGGGTGGGGGGTCAAATCGACCCCCCTTAAGGTTTTCCATAACGGTTTCCGAACGGCGCGGCGTAACCGCGGCAACATTTGCAGAGCTACGGAAAATTGAACAGCGGATCGCTTGGACTACATATTAGGATTTATAATGTAAGGTTGCTGACCTATGGCAGGTCAAAGTCAGGTCATGGTTTCAGCGCAGGCAGTTTCTAAGGAATCCTTCAATCTGATACAACAACGGATCGTTAGAAGAAGCCATACATATCTGATATGCTTTCTTAGGCAACACAACAGTGGAATGAGCAAATTAAATAGACCTCAGGTCAGATATCAAGGTCACACCAAGGTCAAAAACCAACCGGTTTTGATACTCTAGAGCTTGCTGTGAGGTAGTTTCTGGTGCTCATTTCGACTTTATTTATAGAGAGAACCGCATTATGCATCTTCCATGGGCTTTTTAGAGGCCAGAATAGGTCATTGGCCCAAAATGACACAGGTCAATATTTTGTTTTAGAAGCATACTGCCTAGTGTAATCTTTGTCGCTTAGTCAAATGCAAAACTCAAAACAATCTTTTATGATTTTGGTCACCTTGATCTTCAAAAAGTCAATCAAGGTCACTGAGCTTAAATGAGCATGTGACCTACTGCCTAGTAACGGTTCTCTAGGTTCTGTGGGCACTTCGGAGATCGACCTGTAACTTGACCTTGGTTGACCTTATTTGAACAAAAGGTCATGACCTAGGAACATGAAAATTTGACCTAAGTGATTCACGTACAGATCAACACACCCAAGCACCCAACACACCGAAGACCGATCAAAAATGTATTTGCCGAGTCGTTCACGTCTGGCGTCGTGAGCACGATTTCCAGATAAAGCGACGGACGTCAATTGGCTCTCAATCTATGTTATGTGAGGTACGATGACGTAATCAAACAATGACGTATTGAGGACAATGCTCACGCAACAGAGAAATAACTAACATTTTCACCGGCGGTGGTGCGGCGCTCGCGCGCCGTCAGTCAACATGGCGCAGGCGCTTGGAACGGCAGACGGATACCGTATTTGTGCATGGCACCGGCTTCGGCTATAAACGGCACCAAGGTTCAGCTGATTGGGAGAACTCTCGCTAGATGGCAGGCGGCGACCGCGCTGGCTCGGGGGCCGAGGCCGGCCGCCGAGCGATGGAAGACTCGGAATCAGGTGTTTCAGGTGCTTTAGGTGGGTTGTGCGCACGAGCAATGGAAAGGCTTGTATCAGTCCGGCGCACACCCTTTGTAAGTCGTCGATCCCGGCCACTCGAGGCGTTCCGCACCGTGGCTACCCTGGGTAGGGCACGCTTTTATCGAAACAATATAGCAGAAAAAGAACACTAGCAAACAAACTCCTGCTATTGTTTCGGTAAAGGCATGTTACCGAAATATAAACCCATCTATGTCTTCATTCCTGTGGTTTTGCTTCGAGGAGGAAAGGTATTACTACTGCCTTATCTATGCAGACAGATAATTGTTCTGTCTACAGAGGTCTTTTCCACTTAAAACTACACCAATAGTAAAAAATATACAGAGGTGAAATTTTTTTATCATATTTGATGCTTGCTTCAAAATCCTCAAATGTGAAACATGTCCTTTAAACGGCGCACTGGGTGGAACTACAAATTGCACAGTGGGTTCAATGCCCTAGACCTTTAGGCGGAGACCAGCTTTCGGCGAAACCTGAGAGTTGAGAGTGTGCCATTCGTCATGCTGGTTGGGGATCTATCCTGGAACGCA